TTTCTTTTTAGAGGAAAGTGATATTTATCTAAAGGGCGCCAAGGGAAGAAATCCAATGTACTAAGCACTGTACAAACATTCTAAATTTAATATAAATAGACTTACCACGAATATATTAGTCTTACTGGATGTTATATACTTCATATGTACTTAACTAGAAAAAATGATAGAGAATTCATTCACATTGCTGCAAATATACATCTGTATGCGTCTGTTTCTTGTCTATAAAATCATTTAAAAAATAGGAAAAACAAAATTTCTGTAATAGAAGCTCCCCTCCCCTAAAAAACAATGAAAAGAATGAATGCTTAATACGTGTGATAATCGTGCTTTACATGGGTACCAGCTACCAATATGTTAGCACCCTCATTAGTATCCATTATAGAGAAGACCTTTCCCAGGGCATCAACCCTGTTGCAGGATCAGCAAAATAAGATAGAAGGAAGTCCTTCAGGCCAGTATCCCAAACCTCACAAAACTGAAGCCGCCAGTTAGGTGGTTCAATGGCTTCTGTTCCTAGTCCTGGTGCTCTATCCTTTGATCCTTTGTTCTGGTCCTCCTGCCAGTCCACCACATAGGTAGCAACCCTTCTGAAAAACTTGGCTTTGAAGGTCTCCCATACCTGGTACTTGTAGTGGTTTACGATAGCTGTACCTTCAGGCATGTTGTAGTACCTAAACCCCTCCCTCAGCTGAAAATGGTGCACCACATTCATAAGACTGATGTCAAGCAAATCCGGCCGCACAATGGATTTGTGCCGCTCAGGGCTCTGAAGCCTGCAAGTGTACCCTAGTGTAACCCCTTGTTTTGGGGGTGAGTGTAAGCCAGAAGGCCCGAAGCTATGACAAGCTGTTCTTATCTCCGCAATGGATTTCGAAGATGAGAAATTGGCTACCACTGATTTCAGATAATTCTCACCAGGAACACCTTCCCTCAGGTTTTGATGAAATTCACTGGGAAAGTAGAAGAACTCATCAACATCAAAGAATCCTACCCACTTGCATTCCTCTCTAGCTCTCAAGGCACAGTGGGAAAACCCTGCCTCCTGAGTCTTAATCCAAGGCCAGGACTTTCTACTAACATTAAATCCTTGAAGATCAAGATCCTGAACAACCTTTTCAACACCATCATCACTGTTGTTATCATAGATAAACCAACGCTCCACTCCAAGCCAAGCATGGTACATAATCCACTCTCTGAGCGCAGAAGCTTGGTTCCACACCATAGTACACGCACATAACTCATACTTCCCGCTTTTCCTTTTTTGAACCTTACCACCACCAGGTGCACTAACTGTAGCTACAGAAGGCACAAGGACACGAACGGGGTGCCTCACATTGCCTCCCAAATAACTCACTGTGACCCGAATCCCTCGAACCTTATCCGGATTGTTCCGTATACTCTGTGGTAACATACATCTCACAACTTCTTGAGCCACAGAAACCGCCCTGGTATTAAGCAAAAATGCATTGTTCTGGTGAAAACTCTTGAGTCCGAAATGACACCGGATCCGGGTTGGATCGGATATCTTGTGGGGTCGGAGATTCAGCCCTTTCACGAACACCACAACGGTGTCTCCGTCAAGGATCGCCTCGTACGCTACCCTGTCCCAAGATTGAGCCGTTTGGTTGATAAAAAAACCCAAATTCCGGCGACCGACCTCACCGCGCCGCCGCAATTCTACGGTTTGGGAGCCGGCGGCGGTGTAGTTCGTCTGGGGAAGTGGGCATCTAACGATGGATCGAGATTCATCATAGCGGTCCGTGGAGAGGAGCGGTCGAACCTGAACTTGAAGGGGTGGAGCGGGAGATGAAGCGTTGGGGTGGAGCGTATAGTAGACTCAGTCTAGTTGGTGGAGTTGGTGTTGTTGAGGGGTGGTGAGGATGAGGAGATGGTGGTCGGGGAAGATGATACGGTGTTGGAGGGTGTAGGATGGAGCAGTGGGATGAAGGGGATCGAGAATAGAGTTGCTTGCGGAAGAGTAAAGGAGAGATAAGGTGGAGGCTGTGAGAGAGGGTCTGAAGGTGGAGGGAGTGAAAATGAAGAAATGATGGTGGGAAGACAAGAAGAGGAGGAAGATTAAGAAGAAGAAGCAAATAAAAAGTGATCTTGATGAGATGTGAA